ATGGGCAGTCTCCTCCGGTGCAGTTAACTGTAACTGCCTCTGAAGACCCACTGAAAGGTCATCTGTAGGTCAGTTCTGACTTCAGGCTACATAACAACAACTGATATCTCCGGGGTAGATGTCAGAGGTGCTACTAAACATTGCACACTGTACACTGCACACTGCACAAAATAGCCTCTACACCAAGACTTAAAAACAAAACCAAGCGAAATTAAACTCTGTCGAGTCAATTCTGACCTTGGCAACCCTCAAGCAGATTTTTGAGGCTGTGAATTTTTATGGGAGGAGCATAAGGTTTGCTGACTTTTTGGTAAAGAACCCAATATGTTACATACTGTTCCACCAAGGGCTCCTGTGGTGTTAAGAGTTTATTGCTCAAAATGGCTTTCCTAGCCATTGACTAACTTTGCCATGTGGATGGGTGTGAATGTGCAAATAAGATATGTTAGCCTATTCATAAGGGGATTGGCTAGTCTTGCCCCTAATTTGAGAAGTTTCAGTGTCAGATTTTGAGAATCTCATCACCAGCAAAGAAGCCAGCATCCGTTGTGTGCCTTTCAGGGTCAGAGATTCTTGTGACAGCCAGACGGACAGCAGCAGCAGCAGCTGTGGCTGAAGCAGAGAACCAGAGACCCAACCTGAGATCTAACATGCAATGACCTTGGGACTGCTATTCCATAGAGCTAAGAGCCTTTGCCTAAGCTTGCTGGAAAACTAGCTGGGATAGAGCCATGATAGGGAAGACTGAGAACTATGTGACAGGGGCCGAAAGCTGTGAGGATCAAGGCTGAGGTTCCTGCAAGGGCATTTTGGAAGCTGTCCTGACTGAGGGATGTTATTTATTGCCAACCTGAATTATAGTCTTCTACTTCCCTAATGTAATTCTATGAGGTCTGTGAGCTATTGCATTGGGCTTTGGACAAAGTAGAACCGTAATATTGGTGTTGGAGATGAGTAGAATCGGGTGTGCAAGCATGGCCGACATATCTGACCTCATGAGACTGGGTTTTGTGTTGGGGATATTGTTAATGGATACAGTTCCTGTTGTCGGATTGGTGGAAGTCAGATATGGTTGTCCCCATCCTGATCTAGCTCTTTTTACAGCTTCTTTACACAAAGAATTGCCAGGCCCAAACGGTCAATAGTGCTGAAATTGAGAAAACATGGTCTTTCCAATGGTCAAACCATCACACTCATGGCAGACAACGCATACGAGTTCTGACTGGGTGGGCTAAGGGGATAGACCAGACACCAGTCATGAATTCAATTCCTAATCTGCTCTTGAAGAAATGGTAGACTTTAAAATGGGGGCAGGGGAATGTATCATACACCAATGTTGAAGAGGTAGGTAGACCTTCCAAAAATAAAAAACAAGCATAGACTTTCCTCTAAACTTAAGAAAGCAGTAAATGCAGCCCTTTGTGTGACAAATAATAAACACTGTGCATGAGGGTCAAAAGCTAGGCTCTCCTGGCCCTGTCAGCTGCCAAAACAGCAACTCGGCAGCAAGCTGCTCTCATTTTCTCAATTACAAAAGGACGCCAGGTGATATTTGGGGAGGGTTTTTGTTTTTTTGTTTTGTTTGTTTGTTTTATATTCAGATAATGTGTTTTCTCCAGCTTCATTTCTGTCATCGAGTACATGTTTTCCAACTACTGATCCTTCTTCTCTGTTCCCAACTTTTGCATTCCAGTCACCCATTATTATCAATGCATTTTGATTGCATGTTCGATCGATCTCGAACTGTAAAAGTTGTTAGAAATCTTCTATTTCCTCTTCTTTGGCTCTGAATTTGGTGCATATATATGAATGATAATGGTATTCACTGGACTTCCTTGTATGCGTGTGGATATTATCCAGTCACTCACAATATTGTACTTCAAGATGGATCTAGAAATGACTTTCTTAACTATGAAAGCAACACCATTTTTCATCACCTTTTTATCTCTGGAGTAATATATCATATGGTCATCCAACTCAAAATGCTCCATGCTGGTCCATCTCATCTCACCAATGCCTAGTGTGTCAATATTTATGCGTTCCATTTCTTCCTTAACAATATCTAATTTTCCTACATTCATGGTTCTCACATTCCATGTCCCAATCACCAGTGTCTGCTTACAACTGTTCCTCTTCCTTTGTATTTCCATACTTGAAAGCTCCACCTCAGTTGCCCTTTCTGTTAGTCTATGTGTGTTCTGTTGACATGGGAAAGTTGGCTGTTAGGGACCTCTCCAAAATGCTGAAGAGCAATGATGTCTCTCTGGAGACTAAGGTGCACCTGATACAGGTCATGGTTTTTACAATCACTTGTTATGCATCAGAGGGTTGGACAATGACTAGGGAGGATAGAAGGAGAATTGATGCCTTTAAGCTGTGGTGCTGGAGAAGAGTATTGAATGTACCATGGACTGCTAAGAAAACAAACAGATTCATCTTGGAGAGGGTTAAAGCAGGCTGCTCCTTGGAGGCAAGGATTCTGAGGCTTCGTCTGACATACTTTGGACAGGTAAGGAAGGACCGGTCCTTGGAGAGGGACATCATGCTTAGTAGGGTGTAGGGACAGTGCAGGAGTGGAAGGCCTGCTAGGAGGTAGATTGATTCAGTGACTGGGGTAATTGGGATGGGTGTGTCAGAGACAGTGTGATTGGCACAGGACAGAGCAGAGTTTAGTGCTGTTGTACATAGGGTTGCTATGAGTCGCAAGTGACTCAATGGCATGTAACAATAACAACAATGTGTTTTCTGAGAGAAAATTCAAACTCTCTGCTCTTATGCTGGTTCCAACTCATAACAATGCCCCATAAGGTTGCCAAAGGTGTTTCACAAGGGGAGGAGACTGCCCATCCTTCTCCATAGAGCTGCTGGTGGGATGAAACGGCTGTGGCCTTTAGATTAGCAGCAAAACTACAGATATACCACCAGAGAAATTCCAGAAATTCCAAATAATGAATGTTTAACTGTTAAAAAAGCCCCAAACCAACAACACAACACGCACACACATACACATACAAAATGAGGAGTTGATAATTTTAATATTAAAGAGTGGATGTCTTTTAATCTCATTGTATTTAATGTATGGCATTAAGGTTTTCTCTGATTCATAATGCTCTCTTGAGCCACAAAAATAGAATGACTTACAACCGATCTCCCCAGAATTCCCTTTTATTCTCTCTCTGTGTATCTCACAGATTAATAGTTTTCTCTTCTTGAAGGCATTATCAGAAAAATTTGAGCTAACAAAACCAACTGTTCTAAGTGGAAAGAATTCTGATCCTGGCATTTTCATTCACACATTAAAATCTGTTCTACAGGAATTTACAGCAATGTGTACAAGGAGAGGAGAGAGGTGTCTGAAGGACACATTAGGTGCTCATGCATAAATGTTTCAGCAGCAGGCTGTCTGCGGCCCACTGCCATGTCAGTAGATGAAATCGTCCAGTAAGATACTAAGTATTCATGCCGTAAAGGCGTAAAGTCTTTAGAGAAGAATCAGAGAGTCAGGGCTGACCTACAAGTGTCTCCTGCAAGGCTGAGACCAAGTGGCTCTTTAACAGAAAGAGGTTCCTTAATGGCCTTCTTCCACACAGAGTGAGGGAACTGATGGAGTGAGCTTCTGAAGAAAGGAGTCTTTGATTATTCTCTTCAAAACCCATCATCACCATTTCTGGCAGTCTCCTTAACAAAACTGTTCTGGAGTCCCTGGGTTGTATAAATGGTTCAGCTATTAACTGAAAGGTGGTATTTGGAATATACCCAGAAGTCCCTTGGATGACAGGGACTGGTCATCTATTTCCTCGTGATCTATTTCCACAAAATCAGTCACTGAAAACCCTATGAGGCACAGCTCTCTTGTGGAACGAACACACGGGGTCACTGTGAGCCTGAGCAGATGCCATGGCAGCTGGGGCGGGGGCGGGTTTCAAATTTACAAGCTGAACACTTGTCAAGATGACACTTCTATCGTCGACTCCCTTGTTTTTCCTGTCTTTAAAATGGGCAGTTATCTGTATCTCCTAATTTAAAGAAAAGAATAGAAGAACCAAACATTGACAGAGGTTTGCAGGGATTTTTTTTTTTTTAAGGTGAAATGGCCTATAAGTAAAATTCAATCTGGCATCAGATTATTTAAAAAAACTATTTCTTGACTAGCTCTGGTGGCCTAATGACAAGAAGCTGCACTGCAATCCCAGAGGTGAGCCGTTCAAATCCACCAGACGCTCTGCTGGAGAAGGAGGGACAATCTCCTCCTGCAGCAGTTAGATCTGATTTGATGGTACACACAAAAATTTTTTTAAAAATAAAACTATTTATTATATAAACGTGGAAGTAACAGTTCTTCAACAGGATTCTCTTAAAATCACCGGTTCAAAGTCATATAATAACTTCTCCTTGCTTTCCTTTATTTTAAAACTCTTAACCTATATTCTTTCTTCTTAACTCATATCTTCACTACCAAAAAGAAAATAACCTAATTTAATGAAGGATGGAGGAAAATACATTAAATTATTCTAATAGAGTAAGTTCATTTTAGTGAAAAATTTGAGGGTAGCAAGTTGGTCCACTGTTTATTCAATAGTTTTTATCAGAACCACACATGGGGGAAAAATGGCTGAGCTCATTCTTGGCTTCTGGCAATAGGCTCAGACAGTTTTTAATAAAGACATTTATGATAGTCTTAATACACCAAACCCTCTATCAAAAGTTTGACATATATTGTCTTATTTCATTCTCATAAATATGTTATGAAGTAGTAATTATTAAGATTACAATTTTTAATGCTGTTTTACAGATGAGGAAACTAAGGCATAGAAAGATCGAGTAACTTGGTCAAGATCATTCATCTACTAAGTCAGGGACTAGAACTGAGCCCAAGGCAGGCTGACTCAAGAGCTCAGAGTCACCACATTCCCACCAATACTCTGTGATAGCTGCTCCCAATTTCTCCTTCTCTAAGGCAGAGGCACTGCCACCAACCACAAACACAAATTCAAACTCACATCTCTCATCATTTTCACTGCTTCTCTCGTCCTCCCGAGTCTTCTGGCACACATTGCTAGCCTTCTTTTGATGTAGACCAAGACATTGGTGTCTCTTCCTGAAGAGGGAGATATAAAATATCAACATTAAAGAAGAAAATGTGAGCTTTTAGTGAACAGAAAGACATAGTACAGAGGTCAGTTTACACCATCCTTATAGGAACATTCCTGAGAGAGGTTCCTTGGTGCCAGGAGAATGGACAACTTTGTAAATGGTATGACAGTTGGCTACAGAGCAGGGTCAAAGTACTTAGACTTGAAAAGATCAAATCAAATGATTGGTGGTCTAATATATAGTTTTGAGTTAGGATGCTGGAATTTTGGTAAATAAAATCTTCTACAGACTGCCAAGAAACACTCCCACTTTACACAGGGTTTATAAGTAAGAATTCCACATTGAGTGTGCATGCTTTTGGTAAAGATGTACAGAGGTGAATCTCAGGTTGCATTCTGATGAACCATCCCCCCCCTTCTTGACATTAACTCTGGAGAAGCCTCATCTTGAACTTCTGTTTTATATTATTCCTTCTCTAACACTAGTGACATCATAATCATCTCCAGGTCCCCAAAGCAGTCTATTTTAGATGGCAATGTAACACATTCCAGATATGACAATGGGGTATGCAACAAAATGAAAAACTACCCTAGTGTTAGAGAAAGCATTGACAAGCTAAATAGTTATAGCAATAGTCACTAAAATGGCTCTTAAAAAGTACATTAACAACTTCTTATCTTAATCTTTTATTTAATTCTATGTCTTTTTGGGTATGTTTCCAGACCAGTGAGAACATGCATATGCTTAATCCTCAATAAAATTACCATGTTTTAGAAAAATATGACACACCTGTTATAGATTAAGTACATGTATAATATGCAGCTATTAAAAGATGTTAAGACCAAAGTCCTAACATTTCAAGTTTTAAACAATGAGAACAAGATGTGTGTAGAAGATTTGCCAAGTACCTACAAATTATTTTAAAGATATGATTATGTTTTGGGGGATTGATTTAGGCAACAAGTTGAAAGGATTTAATTTTAAGAAAAAATGAGATAAAAATTTCTTAAGTTATGTATATATATGTTTTGTAGCTTTATGGATTCTAATTTAGTTTCTAAAAGACATTCATTGCATATAGTTTCAAAATTCATTGTTTTTAAAGTGTTTTATTTTTGAAAGAGTGAGGTATGTATGGTGACTAGAGGCTTGGTTAACACATAGACTCACTGTTAGTAAACATAAAATCCTCTATGTTGATGGGTTCTGTGGAAAAACTCATGAACACACAAGTTGTAGTCCAAATCTTAATGGCATCTGAACCATAAAGAATAATAATTACACTTCTATATCAAATCCACATTTAATATTAAAATTCCATTTTATAATCTCAAATATGAATGATATAAATGACTACTCTCCAAGTTACAGGAGAAATTCTTCAGGTAAAACCCAATCTCAAATAGTTTGTTTTATACAATTTTTAAAGTCATTTGAATGAAATCTCACAAAGAAAATTAGCTTCTCATTCAATCATTCATACAAATTGTATTTAATAATATTAATTACAATATCCACAATATAATCATACTATTCCAACTTTCTCTTTATCATACTTATTTCCATTAATCCTTCTATCCTCTCCCTTTCTAGTGCCTTGGCTTTATCCTTGAGTGAATGCTACTCTTTTCACCTTATTATAGCTGATTATTGTGAGGACTGAGTACGTTCTGATATTATTGGTCTTCATATAAATAAACTTGTTTATTGTTTGGCTCAAACTTTAGTTAGGGGTAAATTTTGGTCCATGTTTGTAGTGTGAGTAAGGGTCGCAGTGTTGAGGGTTCCGCCAGTCTCTACTGGATTAGTATGGCTGGTCTTTCTTGATGTTTTTTGAGTTTTTTTCTTATTCCCCTCCACCCTATCCAGGATCTTCTGCTTTGATCCCTTTCCTGTTGGTCAGCAGTGGTAATTGGCACCAACTTAAATTTTCTGATTAATGATGGATGAAAACACTGCCACATACCACCACCACAAAACACTCAATTTTGTGTACGCAGCCAATCAATCAGCTAATCAAGGGACTCAAGGGATCCCAGAAATTGTTTTGTTGTTTTATTTTCTATAATGTTACCTCAAAATATCACTGACATTATCTTAAGCATACTGGCATGAAATGTCTTATACTTAAAGAGATATCTTAAATTTAAAAAGTTATTATTTTTAATATCAATAGGAAAATAATTGGAGACTCATGGCCCTTCCTCTTGGGAAGCCAACACAAATGAGAAGTAAGTGCTGAGACAATCAGCAGGACCTGTTCTGCTCTTAATTTTCCCATTTCCACCCATTCTATAAAAGACCCACAAAATCAAATATTTTGGTAATATTTTAGCACTAAATGAAATCCTGCTTCCCAACTAGGATTTAAAATTCTGGGACAGATGAGTAACTGATAGATAGAAATATGTAGGAATTTTAGGAAGAGAAAAAAAGATAATCAGGGTTACTATCACTTTTTTTAAAAAAAAATTAGGAATTTGTAGGCAGAAAAAAAATCTAAACATAAGCAGTAATGAAGCTATAAATAAATTACAGGTCAAGTGCTCTTACATGACAGCGAAGATGAGTAAGAAATAAAAACAAAGAAAGGCAAAAACCCATCTTTGCTCATATTTAAGAGAAACCTATTGAACTGGTCTAAAAATCTGCTTTCACTGATAATTTCATAATTCTGACTACCCAGAGCATCACCCTGGAGGAAACCTTACTATGTTGAGCTTCATACTGGGATCCGTGATGCTGTAGTTGTTGAGAACGCCGGTAACAGCCATCTCCAGCCTTCAGGGCCTGCTTAAAGAGCTTCTCTGCTTCAGCAATGGTTGTTGCTTCCTCCTCAGCCAAGAGAATATATGCTGTTGCACACCTGTCCATTCAGATAATAGCCACCATCAATTACAAATCCAAGGGCATTGGAATCGGCTGCTGAGTGCATGCAGAGGACAAAGAGTTACACCAGAATATTCAATGGGGACACCTGGCTCATGCACCCTAGCTTATAGTTGTTGGCACAAAGTAATGGCACCACAAAAACCATCTCTATTTCTGCTGGAGTGGTAGTATGTGTACTGTTACTAACCATGGACTCTGGACTCACAGAGGGCAAAGGTTGTACCTATATTCCACTGCTGATTACACTGATCACGTTATCACTCTGTCTTCCTGAGAGAAAACAACATGAGGTTCATTTATTATATGATTGTGAAAGTTAAGTACAGTGATGCTGAACATGGCAGTCGGTCCATCAAAGAGATGTTTGACCAATATCAACTCATGATGGTGATGAAAAGAATTGTTATTATGTGTTTGCTTCCAAAACTCAAAGTTACGGGCACTGTAGATAGTTTACTTCTGCTTTCGTAAACACAGATTCTTTTCCATCTAAACACTCCTTCGGAGTGAGCAAGTCATTAAATCAAGTAAGCGACTCATTTAAAAATAAAAACCAGTGCTCCTTGCCAGTTGCTCTGGTTTTCTGTTTCCAGAAGCACTAAGAAGAACCTACAACTCTAATCTGATCCAGCTCCATAATCCACGAGAGTCAGATCTCCCGTCTGTATCAACAATAGCAAGCACTTGTGGCTCAGTTCAGATTCCACACGGTACTGGGTACTTAACATATATCATCTCAAAAAATACCTTCAACAAAGCTTTAAGGCCAGAAGCCAGAAAGGATGCAGTATTAACTGACAAATAAGGGGTGAGGGTGCGGCAATTATAAAGTTAAACCTTCCAAATCATACAAGGAACTTCCAAAGAAAGGGCTATAACGACAGGGAAATGGTGAGGCCAGACGAGACTGTGCAGGCCCTGGGCTGCACTAGGCCCCTTTGCTCTTTGTCATCTCCATAACCTCCCATGTGGCTTTCTTCCTATGTATCAAGAATATCAATCCAACCATAAGACAGAAAAGAAACAGAAAGTCAATCTAAATAGTACTACCACCCACCACCCACCCGCCAATTTATAAACCAAATTGATCTGTGGAGGTAAGGATTTTGAAGCTCCATCTCACATATTTTGGGCATCTTGCCAGGAGGGACTGGTCCTTGGAGAAGGACACCATGCTTGGAAAGGTGAAGAGACAGCACAGGAGAGGAAGACCCAGGATGAGATAGATTGACACAGTCACTGGGGTAATAGAGGTAGGTGAGTTGGAGGCAGTGAGATTGGTTCAGATCTATTGCGCATAGAGTTGCTATGAGTTACAGGTGACTCAATGGCACATCACAGCATCAAACTATAAAAGCCATGGGGGGGGGAGCCTGAACTTACAGTAAATGTAAGATTTGGGGTTATTAGTTAGTCTTAGCCTTGAGGAAGAATATTGAAAGTTCTTGTGCCAATGCCTCTAATTTCAGGCAGGACTGATCAGCAGGGTTTTAAATGGAATGTGGTGAGGTAGAGTAAAAAAGTTGTAAATCAGTTTCCTTGGAAGGCAATAGGAACATCTTGGAAAAAAAAAAGTAATTATGGTGCTGGAACTGCAGTCACCCACTGGGGAAATAACTAGGACAAGTATCAAAGCGAATCTTAAGGCCTCCGATGCAAGCATATAAATACGGGTGAGGATAACAAAGTGAAAATTGAGAGTGCAATACTGAGTGCAGACACTATCAGACGGGCAGCTGTAAGACTTCCGCTGGTAGACTGGGACTGGGAACTCAAGACTTGTTGGGCCAGGCCTACCTGCTTTGCTTGTTAGTTTATTTATATTTCAAGTATGTAGTTTTAGGAGGAGAGGCAAAGTAGCACGATCAGCCAAGAATATACACATCTGTGCGAAAATTAATGTGTCTGGGGTAAAAAACATGCTAAGAGCTTGTGAGTGAAGGAGAGAGGTGAGCAAAAGAAGTGCTGATGATTGGAGGGGAAAGAACAGACTGCTCAGCTCAGTGGAAAATCTAGACGATGCTTCTTAAAGATGTCACAACACAAGGCACACAACAGAAACAAGAGAACATGGTGCTGAGGGCATCAGCCAACCTTCCAGACCTTGGCTAGAAGGAGCCTCATTTGTTGAGAGGTAGGGCACCAGACAGGCTCTTGACTTTCTTTGGTAACAATTTTATCTCTCAGATGGTAGATGAAGCAATTAGGGGAACTTCAACTCTGGACCTAATTCTGGCCAAGAAGGGGAAAAAAAAAGGTTGGTAAAATAAAAATTGACAGGAACATTCAGAGAGAGTTACCACGCCATTCTGAAGTTCAGAGTAATCAAAGAGGAGAAGGTAGGCTACAAAAATATTCAAAGAAAAGATGCATGAAATTCAGAAAGGGGGAAAATAGATTAGGAAGTTTGGACAGCTTCCAAATGTGTGCTTGTAAAGACAAATGAACTTTTAAGGAAGAAGAGGAGAAGACCTCATGGGAACCATGGAGATCACCGACAAGATCAAATTTTCAAAGGACACATAGCAAAGATGAAAAGGGAGGCAGTCAATGAAGGATTGTAGGAGAGTGAAATGAACTTGTACGAGGAACATCAGGAGAGCTAAAGCTCGTAATTAGCAGAACTTCACAAAATCAAATGCCACAGACAACCTGTTTACAATTTGGGCTTAAAACTCTAACACCTAACACCATCTTTTTTTTTCTTTCTCCAAAACCACCAGAAAAACAAAGAAGAAAATGAGGGTAGGGGGAAGACAACACAGCACAACATTCGAATGAGGAAGGGGAACAGATACCAGCAATGGACAACAAAGAGAAAGGAAGGCTTTCTTACTCTGGTCCTGGTTTCTCCAACAGGGAGACAGATGCTCAGACTTGAAAGACCGTGGAAGAAATGAAACCTTAAAATGGGTAGGCAGATGTCAACTAGCAATAGGCTGATTGATAAATAAATTAGGATACTAGGACGGGCAAATTAGATCTCTCGAAATAAACAGACCGTGTAGGCAGGTCACAGAATAGCTCTGTGGATAGTAGAGGAATCATAAAGAATAAAATGGAAAAGTACCAAAAGATAACAAATGTAATTCAAACAGTAAAAATGGGGAAGATCATTTTCTCAACCTACAGAAGAACAGTGATCCGGAAAGACATTTTAATGGATTATTCAAGGGGAGTATTTTTAAAAGACAGTAGTATCCACGAGAACTTACTAAGAGTAAGTAAACCAGGTTGCGCTAGATTTACTAGCTAGGTTGATTGGAGATTTACTCTCTATTAAAGAGCCAGAACTACAATTGGCATTCTCAGGATGGAAATTAAGAACATCACGGCTGAATCACAGTGGAACAGGGTGTCTGCATAACTGGGTGGTAAGTCGTGAAGACATGAACTTGGAGGGTGGTTTCTATATATGTCATACCATGGGGTGCTATCCCTGGCCCTGATGCTGGTTGTTAGAAACATGAATGACAGAAGGCAGGTATGTCCAATTTCCAGATGACAAGAAATTGGAGAAGAAATATGTTATATTTGGGAATCTAAAAACCAAATAGATCAAAAGTTACATGGATTATACAGGCTTTCCAACTCTCAAGTGAATCTTTTCTTCTTTTCTCATGAAATATTTTCACAATGACCACTTGGCAAGGAGAAGGCTGAGGTGATTTGGTGATTCAAGCACCAGATGGTGGTTGAGCTAAATGACCTTTAAGGTCTCTGCCAACCCTGAGTTGTTATGACTCTAACATTAAGAATCTTCTCTTTTACTGAGATCTTCAGAAAAGGTTTCTTAGCCTTCCTTGGTAACTCCATTTAACAACGAATTTAACAACAGTGAAGGCAGAATTCTCTTTTATCTTTGTCAGGATTTTGAAAATATTCTTTTAAAAAATTTCTCTTTTGTGTGCTTCCCTCAGTAGCAGAGGTTCTAAGCAGAAGATGTGATGGCACAGACGAACAGCATTCCACATCTGGAAAAATGTCTCTGTCAAAATGTTTTAGATACGTAAGGAGTTATATTTATTTCATGTCTTCACAATATCCCAGGGATAGCCCTTGAAGGATTTAATTTAGGGTCACAGCAAAGCCACTGAATTGCTCTCTAAAATGACTAAAACCACTTCCACATGGCTTTCTCTCATAAAAATAATATTAATAGTAGAGTAATACTCCCCCAAATAATCCTCAAGTTCAAGTGCATAGTTTATTGTAAGGATCCCATCAGTGGCAACTGGGTACATTCAGCAAAAGATGAGATTTCCTTTTTAAAAGCCAGATTTCCTCCACTTACTCATTTATCTCCAAGGCTTCATGAGCTGCAGAAATCCTAGCTTGGGGGTTTCTCTCTCGCCAGGCTTTTTGCATTACTATTGTAGAAAAAGAGAAAAAAAGTGTATCAATCATCACACCTCATTAAGAAGCCTAAATGGCAGACCAATTGCTAAATTAACAGCTTTTCAGCTTGATTTACAAGAGAATATTTCACTTACAAAGAGGGTTAACTCCCATCTACCAAGAAACAGAAATACATTCTGATTTGCTATTCCATTGTTCTTTGATTGACATTATCAGACTTTGTATACTCACAAAACTACAGACTTAAATCAGAGACTGAAAAACTGAAGAAAAAGGAAAAGCAGAACCTTTCCATTTCTTTTGCTCACTAAAGTACATTTGGTGTTAGAATATATATGTTCTTTTACATATTGTTTCCTTTTTAAAATCACATATATACATACACACATACATACATGCACACATATGAGCACATTTACTATTTCAATATTTTCATATATACAATTGAGTGACTTTATGTTCATCATGCTGTTTCACCTCTGTTCATTTCCAGGTTTTTCCACTACCCTCACAGAATCTCTGCACTTCTAAGGTCTCTCATTCCCCTCCTCTTGCCCTGACTAACAATCAGCTTCCCAAACATAGGCCTGTTCTAGGTATTCCACCTAAGTGAGAATACACAGTAGTTGTCCTATTATCGCCAGCTAACTTCACTCACAGCATAATTCTACACGTTTTTTAAAATTAATTTTAATGAAAATTTACAGAGACTTTGGATTTCCACTCATTCATTGTTGTACTTTTCTCCCTGCCCACCCCTCCCTCCCAGTTTGCTCTTCTCTTTGAAAAGTAGAAGAAAAATTCTTTCCTTGTTAGACAATCCCACCCCCTCCCCCCGCCTCCTCAAGTCCACTCCACTGTTCTGCCTTCATTCTGGATTCCTCTCATGACAATAATACCAAATCATATATCCCTTTTAAACAGTTCTCTTTCTCATCTGTTTCAATGCAGTATGTTATTTATCCCATCTTTCTCAGTCTCCCCTCAACCCCGATGTCAGTCTTCTTTTATAGTAGTGGCATTATGCAGTATTTATCTTTTTGTGACTGAGATATTTCACCCAGCATAATGTCCTGCAGGGTCCCCCATTTTGTATAATATTTTATAAGTTGCTTGTTTTTCAGTGCAGCATAGTATTCCGTTGTGTGAATATACCACAGCTTTTCTATCCATTTGTTTGCTGATGGGAATTCTACACATTTTTAAGATGACATTGCTACTAATCTCCAACTTCTTTCCATTTGAACAGACTATTACTTCTGTCACTTTCCTGAGTACTTCTTGCCCTCCCATAAAAAAAAATACAAACAAACAGGAATCAAACCAAACAAAAAACAAAATAAAACCACCAAAAACACTGTATCCAGCTGAGTCAACTCAAAGCGGCCTTCCGTCAGACTTCTAAGGCTGTCCACCTTTACAGGAGGAGACTGGCCCTCCTCCTCCTCTGGGGCGCCTGGTGGCTTCCAACCACTGACCTTTCAGTTACCAGAGCAACGCGTTACACGTGACACGACCAGTGTTCTCTGTGACACTGGCTACAGGCTCTGAACATGTTACCATTTTGAAATTAGCTGAAGATCAATTAGTTGAGTCAGGAAAAAAAATTGCTTTATGCTTTATGTTCAACCTGTTTAACCGATGTTCCTAGTCTCAAAATTTGCCTGCAGAACCAATGGTCATGCATCAGAACAGTTTCTGAATAAATATGGAGAAGTCCAATACTTAGAATATTTATCGAGCTATGGTGTTCTACCACAACGGAGTACCTTGATAAAATGAGTATCGATCTCCTTATTGAATTTGTTCAATAAATTTATATCCTATAAGTTAGCTTCCCAGGAATTTATAGATATACCTTTTTAAAACAAACAAACAAACAAACAAACCTATTTGCCTATTTACTTTGAAGACTTCTATTTAAAGATAATAAAAAGATATCGACAGAATTATTTAGAACTTGAGTAGTATGAAGAAATGTGAAAAATAGTAAGAAGAGTCCTCTTCAGAACGGAAACAAGTGTGGCCTTCAACAGCTGGGACCATGTCCTTATTCAATGCTAGGCACACTGTATATTATTAGGTGTCATTGATTACTTTTCAAACCCTAGCAACCATGTGTGATGGAAAAGAACTATGTCAGAGGGCTTCCCAAGTTGTCATTTTAATTATTGTCGAATTGTCAAGTCTTTCTCCCTCAGAGTCTCTGAGTAGCTTCAAAATCTCAACATTTTGGTTGGCAGATAAGCAATTAAGTAACCTTTGCACCACAGGAGCCCCTTGTAAACCTGCATTTGGGAAGATAAATCACTAAAATATATTCAATTATCATTTGGACTCACTGCATCCTGATTTCTAATTAGAATCTTAATAATGAAACAAAGTTCTTTTCTATCTCAACAAAGAACTTAGATTTATAAGATTTAGATAAAGATTCATATAAGATTTATATCCTTATATATAATATTGAATATATAAGATTATATTCTATAATATAGTAAAAATTAGATATTTTTACTATATTAGAAGTAAAATTAGATACTTTAAAAAAAATCCATTTACAAATTCTAACGAGGAACACACTTTTCTAATTTGAGAGTTCATTGTGATAGAACTTAAGTATTCAAATTCTGGGTGCTACTTGCCAATCTTAATATTGTCAAAATTTAATATTTTATTCACTGGTATTTTTATAGAGCAGCTATTCTAAAAGCAGAGCAGCTCGGTGGTACTTAAAAGAATAAACAGATTCTCCCAGTTGGCAGTTTATCTGAAGAAATTTCCGTACTTGCATCTGCCGGACGCAGATGGTCAGAGTCACACGTAAAGAAGGTCTGGTGGTCCTGGGCGGAGAGATTCATATCATAGTAAGTCAGAGGTTCTCGTCCTGTCACCCAGGTATACCTACAGAGGAGAAAGAAACAATTTTGAGAAAGGAATAGTAACAAAATATTCAGACACATGGGAGTTGAAATATAAACCATTAACTTTATATTAGAACAGTTTGCTAAAGAATACAAAAGCTATTTAAAAAAAAAAAAAGGAAAAAAAAGATCTTATTTTCCCTTCCAGAAGGATCTCAGCAAGAAAAAAGCAGACACTTGCCCTTATATTTCTGTCTTTAAAATTTACTAGTACTAGATAATGAAATCCTTTTGTAATTAGTATTATAAATAGATATTTCCCAAAAGCTATAAAAATTCTCATTTGCCTAATTACTTTGCTAAATTAAATTCTAACATAACTTCTATGACATTTTTATAACCATGTTCCAAGCAAGCTTCAAAATGTTTTGAGTCTTTGAAGAGAATCACTGTAACAAAAGAAACATTTTCTAAATGTGCATTTTTGTTCATTATCTCAATGCCAATGATAAAATTTATGTAAAACAAATATCAAAACATTTGAAGATAGTATCAAAAAGCAGAAGAACTAAACAGAATCTTGCACTGGCCTCCAAATGAACCAGCACAAACATTTGCTGCTGTCTTTGCTCTCTGAACCAGATCTATTTGTTTTCCAAACTGTCAGAATGCTTACCGATTATATTCTGCGCCTCTAAACAAATTTAGTGGATTTCGCCACACTTTGCATTCTGTAACAAAGAGAAATATGAAAATGTTACACATAAATTCAGAGATGCTACAAGTTAATTAATTCAGCAAAACACCCTTCCTGGCCACTTGATAAGATAACTGTATTCTTCATTCTCTACATGGGAAGCAATGTGGAAGAGCTCTGGGTGGTTAATCAGGAAACACAGCTCTGAGACCAGGACTTGACAAAAGTTCCCCCTAATCTCTGTAGGCCTGGATTTCCTCATTTGCTAAATCAAGACACAGGTCAAAATCAGCCACTGCATAAGTTTTGTTTTAGTTTCAAGAGTTTGGAACTGATTCTTTTAAGTTTAATTCTAAAATAACAAGGTTGTGTACCATTGACTAGGAACTGACCCATAGCTGACCTTCCAGTGGGTTTCAGAGGCAAAGGAAAAGAAATTGGAAATTGCAAAGAGGAAAGTGAAATTGCATGAAAGGAGAGTGCCCATCCTTCTCCTGAAGAGCAGCTGTTGGTTTTGAACCATGTGCCTTTGGAGTTGCAGTGCAGTTTCTTACCACTAGGCCACCAGAGCTACTAAATAATAGGTCGGAGGTAAAGTGTAAAGAGAAAGAAAACTGCTTTGTTACTGCAGATGTGTGCTTTATAATGATTGTAGTAAAATACATACAACAAAAAATTTCCTACTTTAACCATTGTTAAGTCCATGGTGTTAACTGGACTCACTGTTGTATAACTATCACCACTCAATGTTACCAAAACTTTGTTATCAGCTCAAAGAGAAGCTCTGTACCCAGTAAACAGTAATGCTGCATCCTCCTCCCCCAAGCCCATGATAACTATTAATCTATGAACTATTTAAGGAATTTCCTTTAAATGGGATCATATAATATTTTTCCTATAATCTGGCTTTGATTTCATTTACCATGTTTTCAAGGGTCATCCATGCTTTAGCATGTGTTCTAATATATTTCTTTCCGTTGTGGATTATTTTTCCATTTGTAGCCCATTTTGTTTATCCATTCTTGTAGCTATTGATGAACATTTTAGTTGTTTCCATCTTTCAGCAACTGTGAATAATTCTATAATGAATATCGGTGCAAAAGTACCCGAGGCCCTGCTTTCCAGTCTTTGAACCATATATACTCGAGAATGCCAGGGTCCTGCCACACAGTGGTTCAGGGACTGGCGTCTAAAGGAAAAACTGTGAGTGTTACAACCAATAGGGGAAAGATGTGGCAGTTCATTTCCATAAAGTTTATGGTCTTGGGACTGTACTGCCCTACAAGACAGTTCTACTCTGTCCTACAGGTCACGCAGCTGATATTGTCTCAACAGAACTGGTCGGGTTTGTTTTTTGTTTTATGATAATTCTGTTTTCAACATTTTATGAAACTGCCACACTATTTTCCACAGCAGCAGCACCATTTGACTTTCCCTAATGGACGAGGACCCTAACCTCCTTACATCTTAAACAACATTTGTCTTTTATGTCTGGTTGGAGAGTGTAGTTTTTTGTTGTTTGGTTTTCTGGTTTGGGGTTGGTTTTTTTTTTTTGTTCTTGATAAGCCATTCTGGTGGATGTGACGTAGTATCTCATTTGATTTACATTTTCCTAACAAGGAGAGCTCTGGTGAGGTAGTCCTCATCAACCACCGCTGCCGACCCAATGGCTGTGCTTGTCTGCCAGTTCGGCTCCACCGGCGGCTCTGAGGGAGAATGATGGGAAATCACTTCCTGCGCAATTGACAGCCTTGGACACCTGGATGGTCACCTATGAGTTGGAACCCACTTGAAAACAATGATTTTTAAGTTAATGACTAGTGCTGTTAAACATCTTTTCATGTCCTTACTGCTCACTTGAGTTATTTTCTTTGATTAAATGTTTATTCAAGCTCTTGGTTCATTTTTTCAATATGGTTATTTCTCTTTGTTACTCACTTTAGGATTTCTTTATAAACTCTGTGTCTTAAAGTCATTATGAGAGAAATTATTTCCAAATATTTTCTTCCACTCTGTAGGTTGTCTCTTCATAGTGCTTTTTGTAACATAAAATTTTTTAAGAAAATAATTTGATTAATTCTAATTTATTTTTTTCCTTTGGCTTATGCTTTTTGCTATATTTTATTTAAAAATTCCTTGTTAAGCCAAGGCCCTGAAGATTTACTCGTTGTTTTCTTCTAAGGCTTTGTTAGTTTTAACTCTTACCTGTAGGTCATTGATTTAATTTTTGCATATGTATCTGCTCAACCTCATTCTTCCATGGGAATCTAGTTGTGTCAGCACTATTTGCTTAAAAGACTACTCTTTCCTCAATGAATGAATTTAACACCTTATAAAAAATCAAGTAGCCATAGTTGAATGGATACTCTGAAAACATTCTTACAATGCTTTCATACATGCAACCTTCGCAAGATTAAATCCCTGGGTGCATCAAAAGAGAATAGTTTAAAAGTATTATATTTTAGGGCATTATGTTTAT